GTTTCAAAAATGTGCACTGCAGAAACTGCGGGGTCTTAGGATAATAAGGGAAGGGAAAAATATAATTATTTTCCTTATAAGTTATCTGCTTTATGAAGATCAGGATTGATACCTGAATATTTTGAAGACACATGTTGTTATACATGTAATAGTGTAGGGATATCCTTTTGGAATTTTTCGTATGTAAATTCTATACATTTATAATCCTCGTACTAGTTGGACCTATGTGGTGTAATCTATATTCTTTTATATGAAATATATGTTATATGCAAATGTGGAGTTTGAGGTGTTACATTTCATTTGATGCTACATTCYGTACTAACAGGTCAATAACACATTTTTTGTTTGTTCAATCTTCAATTAAAAGGTTTGATTTATCATAATTTTTGTTATGTATTAGACATTTGATGGAATTTGTTCCATTTACTGTTGTCAACAACCACAACCATAATGTAATTGTCGAAGATGCTCTCTCCACTCACGAGAACATCATAAATTATACATGGACATTGGAAGCATTTCTTGAAACACGTGGTAAAGCGCCGCCATTGGTGCTTACTGATCAATGCCCCGCGATGAAACAAGCTAWTGAAAAGGTTTTTCCCGATTCAAGACATAGGCTATGTTTGTGGCATCTCTCAACTAAACTCCACAAATATGTAAGATATATCGGTTGATATGTTCCCATTTTTCATTGTCTTATAGTTAATTTCCTGATCTATTTTTATGATATGTTAACCCCTAATAAATAATAATAGATGTTGATCGAGCTACTAAGTGATACTCCAATTCGAAAAGATTTCAACAAATTGGTGTGGAATGTTCATATCGATCTTGACGAGTTTGAGGCAAGACGGACCATTTTGACTGAACAATACCCCCTTTAATCTAACACTTAGTTGAAGGAGATGTTTAAAATCAGAAGACGTTGGATTCCCGCCTTTTTCAAGGAGATCCCTTTATGTTGTCTTATGAAGACAACATACAAGTCAGAGTGCATGAACTCCTTTTTAATGAGTTCTCACATAAAGAGAATAATCTATGGAAATTCATTACATGTTTTGACTTCTAGTTGGATAAGCAACGACAAGAACAAATGTGTATGGATTTTGTTACACGGGCAACATTTCCTCGTTGGTTGACCTGTTCAGGTTTGAAGAAGAATGTTTGTGATATGTACACGTGCACGAATTTTTTGGATGTTCAGAAATAAATAGACAGGGCATTATTGGGGAGTTCAATCGAAGTGTTGTTTCACATGATGATACCAAGGCTTCTATTTGGTATTTGGTACTCAGTCAATGTCAGATAGTTATAGGAAGCATTTTTTACAATTGTATATGTAACACATTTGGTATTTCTCGTAGGTTGTGCGAAATGTGACCGATTTAACCATTACATGCAGTTGCACCCATATGGTTGGCTATAGGAAGCATTTGTTTTGCATATAATTGTATATGTAAAACATTTGGTATTTCTTGTAGGTTGTGCGAAATGTAACCGATTTAACCATTACATACAGTTGCACCCATATGATTCGTCATGGTTATCTATGTCGACATATATTCAAAGTATTGACGAAATGTCGATATTGAACCCCTACCTGAACAATATGTTATGAGGCGTTGGATGCRTGMGCTAATGCCGATTGATTTGCAAAATAGTCGTCAGAGGACATGCGGTCTAGACGAAGAGTTGAGGAAGTTGTATAACGATGCACATTCGGCTGTAGATAATGCTTTGGGAAGATTAAGGAATGACAAAGAAATATTAACTTCATATGTTGCTACTCTAAGAAATTTGAATGAAGAGCTGGTTCAAGATTTTCCGGTTAAAGTATTTTCTCAACAAAATGATAAAAATATTGAACAGTTTATTGGTGTGTCTAAGGCAGATAATATCGATATTCTTCCTCCAACAGATATTAGAAACAAAGAGTATGGTTCCAATGTTTGGTTACCCATGGAATGGAATTGAATTCCAAAGATTCCATCATTTGAGGATTTCACCATTCCTTCCTAAAACTGATGGAATTGAAATCCATTCCATCTGAAAATGTGTAAATGACAAAAATACCCTCATGATTAGTGCTTGCTTCTGATTTATGCTTGCTTGCTTCCGATTTCTGCTTATTAAACACCAAAATCAAACCAACAACTGCGTGCTTCTGAAATCATTCTACGAACCAAACGCCCGCTTAGAAGTATCAACTTCACTCCCGATAGAGTTGCATGAATTTTTGGTTTGTCTATAATACATAATTTTAGAAACCATTTAAAACTTATCATGTTTGGAAATACAACATCACCAATCATATTTGCAAACCAGTGATTACCTATGCCAATTTTTTCCATAGATATGGGTTCCCCAGATGTTGGCTTCCTTTTCAACGTCTTTTGAACTACATATTCAGTTAAAATGTAAGCAATACACATATTTAGATGTATTGATCCATTACACCTATTGATATGTAATTTATCACATTATGCATACCTGTTTCCTTTATCACCAAAGACGAAGAACCTTACTTTATTTCTTCCTTTCTTTACTATAGACGTGTCATCCAAAGATTTATCATCCTTGCCTCTACTTTGTTTTTGATATGGCTTGTTACATGTTTAACAATGTTACCATATTATTCCCAAATTGTTGCAAACGTATAGTTTTCTGGTTGCCATTATGTGCATAAATCAATCAATAATTGATTGGTAATCAAAMGTGTATGGTCTATACCTTTTCTCTTTTTCATCGAAGAGGCTCGTCTTGTCTTCCTTCTTAGCTTACCTTTGTTGTCATTAACCGGAACAATTGTATTGTTCAAATAAGCAAATATCATGTCTTTAGAAAAAAACTATACACCATTTCGATTATGTTTATCTGGAGTTAGTTACACGAATTAAAAAATGAAGCTTTAATAAGATGTATTTACGCACAGTTTACTTGTAATCTTGAATTTTAAATAATATGCATCAATAAATAATATTTCATGCATAAAAAATGATTTTAAGTGTTCTTATCAAATGCTTTATAATATAATGTGTGTGTATAGAGAGAGAGAGAGAGAGCTTGCTAGGATCATTTGTTAACTCAGAATGAGTGTTAACTATACTAGCTCTATAAACCAATAAAAAAGTCTTTATACTTAATGTTCATATCTCTCTATGCAGTTAATGTTGAGAGTATGTTAGTAATTTTTTTTTTGGTCTTGATTGAAACATATTTAATTGATTGTTACAAAGAGATTCATGTTCCATGATTTTAGTCATTTTTCTTTTTGTTTTTGATTGAAACATATTTATAATTGACAATTATAACTAAGCAATTTCATAAAAATACGTTTTCATAACATTATAATGAAATAATGCATGTGTTCATGAGCCATAATATGTTTATAGTTGTAAAATGTGCATAACTAAACTGGCATAAAGAAATCGTTTGTTGACTGTTGACACAATGATTAATGTTCAGTATGCACTCAAACCACATCATTGTCCATTAAGGTGTTCACCGATAACAATAGCTCACTATCTCCATTAAAAGTAATATATTTATTGGTGGACCATGAATACATTTATCAAGAATTATTAACCTTGAGTACATATGAACCATGAACATTTGTTCACTCATGAGTAATCTTTCAAACATGAATTGACATAAGCATGTTCATAAAAGTTTGTTGATGTAATACTTGTATGAATTTAAATATGTGTTCATGAGTGAACAAGTTGAATCTAATATCATTAAAATATTTTCCCAAAATACTTATTGTAAACTTTGTTCACTTTTGTTGCCTTGCCTCTGTGTGCAATTAATTAAATTTTATGTCATGAATGATCTCAAATAAATTTTAGAGATCAATGAATGAGATGGTTCGTGAAGTTAACATTATGTTTAAGTTAACAAATGAATTCACCCCTATATATATACACACACATATATATCGTTTTCAATCTCCATTTTTTTCCACCATCACAACCTTCTTGTTCAACACCGCCACCACAACCTGATGATTAAGAACGATGTTTCTACTTCCTCTTACGGAAGTATAAAGAACGGTTTTGCTTAAATTAGCGCTAGCTTTAAGATCGTTTGGTTATGGAAACAAAAGCACCGGTAGGAATGGAGATGTGGGTTGGATCGAGTATCTTCTTCTCAACGCCAAACTCGAATCGGATTACCAAAGATCTCTTTGTGTTTGAAGAAAACCCAGAAAATTTCCAGTAGTAACTCTGCCAAAAAAAGGTCGAATCTTTTTCAATGAATCCAAACGTGATATACTCATTTAGGGGCCGTTTACCAAACACTTATCCGGTAAGTGCTTAACGATAAAATTCAACACTATCACATGCTTGTCGGATAAGATTTTAGTCAACACGACATCATATACAACAATTTATCCGGTAAGCGCTAACCGTGGTAAGAGTCATCACCATCACTTACCGAGTAAGACTCTTGGTCGTTGCCTTCGTTCTTACCGGATAAGATCTTTGGTCCTTGTCATATTCATCCGGTAACGTAATGTGACTTGGTAAGTGCTTATCCGGATAAGTGTTTAGTAAACGGCCATGATTTTTTTGTAGGGGAGTTCTGAATGATTATGCGACAACAATGAAGAAGATGGCATGTGAGATTCTTGAACTAGTGACTCTCTTTTCAGAGTAAATCTGTTGGGATTTATTTATAAATCCAATAATAATTATGGGCTTACATATTATTATATAATTATATTACGCTATTTAAGTAATGAGCTAATTATGTGATTAATTAAAGAGAGCCCATTAGAACCCAATTTGGTATGGACTTAATAAGAGGAAGCCCATTAGGTTATAATTAGGGTTTAATGGGAACCCTAATTATAACCTATATAAAGACGGCTAGGGTTATGGTTCACACACACCAAAATCAATACGTTCATTCTCTCCCCATTGGAAGGACATCAAGGATTTTGCGTTGAGGAAAGGCATAATTTCGGATCTACGTTTCATACTCAAGCCTAACTAATGGAGACGGGTATGTGTATTCTTATTCGATATGTTCTTAATAATTCATTGTGATAATCTTCATCTTTCCAACAAGTGGTATCAGAGCCACGTTTTCACATTGAATTATTAGAAATAATTAGTTTTTTTTTTGTGGTATAATTGTTTCGTAAGGTGAATCGTTTTGCTATGGGGATTTAAAAAAAAGTTTTTTTTTATTCTGTCGCCAATGATTCGAATGAATAATAAATAAATAAAAAAAACTTTTGGATTAGAGTAATCGTGTGAAACAATTTCGATGGATGATATTTTTTTTGGATATCAATGGTTTGAGATTTCTGCTGCCGTTTATTGTTCTTTAGATTCGTGATTATTATCGTTTTTCGTTTCTCTAGAACTCAAGTTTTACAGCCATATATTGTATAAATTGTTTATATATATATATTTTGTGATATCCATATAAACGTACCTTTTTTTTGGGTTAAACTGATTACTACCATGACAATTGTTATTTTTATTATTGTTATTCGTTGTTGTGAATGGAAAAGAATTTTTTTTTGTTTAAGATAATTTCTTTCGTTCAATAAAGATTATGTTATGGTTTTCGGAGGATTTTGTTTGTTAGTTGGGCTATTAAGAAATAAATAATATTTCCCATTGAGATTAAGTGTAGATTGTCTGAAACATTAGTTTCGACGGAGTAAAATTATATCAAGGTCCAAACTGTTTTATTATGTTTGCACTTAATTGTCTTGTATTTTAAAATAAATTGATTGACATAATATAGTTGCCAAAGTAACCCCTGTTGTGACAATTAATTTGTTTTAAGGTATAAAGATGAGTATATTTGTTATTTATGCGAATAATGATTGGCCCAAAGGAAAATTGTTATTTGGCCGGATAATTAATATACATGTGGTAATAAATATGTGATTATTGTAAACTTTTCATGTGAGCAATGACCGGCCCAAAGGAAGGGTATTGTTTGACAGGATTTATTTTCAATATTTGATTACTACGTTGAAAGTACCACTTACAAGTTAATATTTTAGTCCAAAGACTAAATATTGATGTTGTGTTAGGTATCTTGTTAATGGGCCCACCAATGTTTCAAAAAAAAATTTATGTCATTCACGCACGTATTTTCCTCCGATATGACATAGTTGCTAAGCACGTTATTTGTTTTGTTTAATATATAGTTGCTAATGCTAATAATGTATCTGCTCAAATTGCTGGTATTCCTACTCTGACTGGGACGAATTATGCCATGTGGAAAGAGAGTGTGGAAATTGTTCTCGGTTGCATGGATTTGGACCAAGCACTTCGGATTGAGCGACCCATTTCCACTGTGGAAAACCTAAATACGGATAAAATTGAGAGGTGGGATCGCTCTAATCGCATGTGTCTAATGATCATGAAACGCTCTATTCCGAGCGGATTTAGGGGCTCTATCACTGAGAGCACTGATGCTAGAAAGTTCCTCACTGAAATTGAGCAATTTTTTGCTAAAAATGAAAAAGCGGAAGCGAGTAACACTTTGATGAAACTCGTCACCATGAGGTATAAAGAAAAGGGGAACATAAGGGAGTACATCATGGGAATGTCTAATCTCAATGGGAAACTCAAGGAACTAAAGTTAGAGCTTTCGGAAGACTTGCTCGTTCACTTGATTCTCATATCACTTCCTGCACAATTCAGACAATTTGTGGTGAGTTATAACACTCAGAAGGATAAATGGACTCTTAATGAGCTMATGTCACATCTTGTGCAAGAGGAAGAACGACTAAAGCGAGATAAGATAGAGAGTGCTCACTTGGCATCAACCTCTCAGGATAAGAAGAGGAAGAGAGCTAAGGAAACTGTAGAAAAAGGGCCAAAGCAGAAAATGCATAAGAAGCAGGATAAGGAATTCACCTGCTACTTTTGCAAGAAAGCAGAACACATGAAGAAAGAGTGTCCTAAGTATGCTGCTTGGCGAGAGAAACATGGTAAGACTCTCATTTTTGTTTGTTCTGAAGTTAATTTACCTTTTGTACATATGAATACTTGTTGGGTAGATTCTGGTGCTATTGCTCACATAAGTATGTCTATGCAGGGCTGCATGTGGAGCCGACCGCCAAATGATAATGAAAAATTTATATATGTGGGCGATGGCACTAAAGTTAGAGTTCAAGCTATTGGGACCTTTAGAATTTTATTAAAAACTGGTGTTTATTTGGATTTAGTTGAAACTTTTGTTGCACCGTCATTTAGACGGAATTTGATTTCTGTTTCATGTTTGGACAAATTTGGTTATAATTGTTCTTTTGGAAACAATAAAGTTGGTTTCTATCTAAATTCGAAATTGGTTGGCACTGGTTCTTTAATTGATAAACTATACATGCTTGAGACTATTACTTTAGATAATGAAATTTTGTACTCTGTTGCTAAAGGTACTAAGCGAAAATTAAATGGGAATTCTGCCATCTTATGGCACAAGCGTTTTAGGACATATCTCTAAACAGAGAATTCAGAGGCTTGTTGATGAAAGAATCCTTAATCCCTTAGATTTAACCGACTTTCAAGTATGTGTTGAATGTATAAAAGGGAAACAAACAAACTCAAGGAAATTAGGTTCTAATAGAGCTACAAACGCCTTAGAATTGATAGATACCGATATATGCGGACCGTTCCCTGCAGCTTCTTGGAATGGTCAACGGTATTTTATCACATTCATAGACGATTACTCTAGATATGGATACATATATTTGATACATGAGAAGTCTCAATCATTGGACGTATTTAAGGATTTCAAAGCCGAAGTTGAGTTACAATTAGGCAAGAAAATTAAGGCTGTCAAATCTGATCGCAGTGGTGAATACTACGGCAGATATGACGGATCAGGAGAACAACGTCCAGGACCATTTGCCATCTTCCTAAAGGAGTGTGGAATTGTCCCACAGTACACTATGCCAGGTAAACCTAGCATGAATGGTGTAGCGGAAAAAACGAAACCGAACTCTTAAAAACATGGTCAGAAGTATGATTAGTCATACTTCTTTACCTGAATCACTTTGGGGAGAGGCACTAAAGACTGCAGTTTACATCCTTAATCGGGTTCCATCAAAAGCAGTGACTAAAACCCCGTATGAACTTTGGGCTGGCAAGAAACCTAGTTTAAAGCACTTACATGTTTGGGGATGTCCAACTGAGGCAAGGGATTACAAACCACTTGAAAAGAAATTGGACTCAAGAACAATTAGTTGCTATTTTGTTGGATATGCAGAACGCTCTCGGGGCTTTAAGTTTTACAATCCCACTACCAAATCCTTATTTGAGACGGGAAACGCAAGGTTTCTTGAGGATGTTGAGTTTGGAGGGGAAGATAAGATAAGGAATGTTGTCTTTGAGGATGATGAAGCTCCAGTTCAAGATGCTTTTATTCCTAACACTGTTGTTAGTGATGATCACGTTTTTATACCTATCATTGCTCAAGATACAACTCCAGTTCAAGATATCAGTGTAGGTGTACCTCTAATACAAGACAACATTGAAGTTCCTCCACCTGTTGTACAACAAGACAACACTGAAGTTCCTCCACCTGTTGAACAAACTCAACAAGCTCAAGAAGTGCCGTTAAGGAGATCCACTAGAGAAAGAAGATGTGCGATTACGGATGATTATATCGTTTTTCTTCAAGAACATGAAGAAATAGGCATAAGGGAAGATGACCCAATCAACTTGGCAAAAGCCTTGTCTAGTTCGAATTCTCAAAAATGGATTAATGCCATGGAAGATGAGCTGAAATCCATGAAAGACAATGATGTTTGGGATCTTGTCGAGTTACCAAAAGGTGTGAAACCCATTGGTTGTAAATGGATATTTAAAACCAAGAAGGATTCAAAAGGTAACATCGAAAGATATAAAGCTCGTCTTGTCACAAAATGATTCACTCAAAAGGAAGGCATTGACTATAAAGAGACTTTCTCTCCGGTTTCATCGAAAGACTCTTTTAGAACAATTATGGCACTTGTAGCTCATTTGGATTTAGAGTTACACCAGATGGATGTAAAGACAGCGTTTCTCAATGGAAACATTGATGATACAATTTATATGGTGCAACCTGAAAACTTTGTGTCAGGAGATCCGAAGTCTATGGTGTGCAAATTAAAAAAA